GGAAAAAGCTGAAGCTGTTATTTGCAGCTTTGGAAAAGTGGCTTTTTTTCAATGCACACGGAGCTACAGTGCTTCTTTAATGAAAATACCTACTATTAGACTGCTTTTTTTTCCAAAAGCACTTTTACAAAAAAGTTTACCAAACACTCTGCTGATTTATTTCACAGCCGCTTATTCTCACAGTAGCTTTTTTTCAAATCACAGCAATACCAAACCAGCCCTAAGACAATTGAATTCAAGTTTGTCCTTTCATATGACGTTATGAGGTGACGTAGGTCTTTTATATGACGCAAGTCATTTTGTAGGAATAGCGTGTGAAATCAAATGTTGTTCACACAAAGACATGTCCTGGGACCTGGTGTGTGTGTGTATATCTCTACAATGTTGCTACTTGGTTGTTGGCTGCACATTTGTCAGTGCATCAAAATATGAGTCTGTTTTGTTGGTTTAATTGCTTACCTGCTTACCTGTGGAAACAGCCAAGCAATTTTCTACCCAAAGGACAATAACATAAAATTAACATCAGAAAAATAATGACTCATGGTCAGTTTTGTTGGTTTCACACTTAGCTACTGCCAGCTGTATCATAGCAATATAATAACTATTTAAGTCAAGTCGTCAACCGTTTATAAAATAAAAGTCAAGACTTAAACGTAAACTCCTCCCTTTTTTTAACCCAAAAAAAAAAAAAGCCGAAGGAAAATTTAAGCTCTTAGGCGATCCCTAACCGACCCAATTAAAGAGTCATAAGTCAAAACATAGTTTGTTTTGATATGAAAATCATCTTTAATCGAGGATTAGACCAAAGAGCTTGTGGATTCCATCAAGCCATAATTCATCCACTAGGCCAACAGGCTGGCCAAAAAGAGCTAGCCAGCCAGCCAGCCCATTTGCACAAGCCCAAACCCATGCTAGTTGACGTTAGGTTATTGTTGGATTTGATTTTTTTTTTAGACGAATTTTTTTTCCTAAAAATTCAAAATTTTTTCCTATAAATACCTAAGTCATTTCTACCTCATTTTATTTAAATTCTTCACCAATTTTTCACATCCTTTTCATTATGTAAAGATAAGAATTCCGGAGGCTTATTCATTTAGCGACAAGTAATACTCAAAATATGTCCGAAAACTTTATTTTAATATGGTAGTTTAATTCAATCAACCATATTAATTCAATTAAAATAATAAATTATTGATGCAACGACCCGTCCCCAATTATTATGATTTTTATAATGTTAAAAAGTGAATTTACAAAAATGCCCTTCAAGGCAAATGCGTTGACTTTTGTGGACTGCCTTGTCGAGTTACGTAAGATTCATTTTCTTGGCGTACCCTCATAGTAATCATCGCTATAGACGCGTGGACGCAAACAGAACATGATTTGGAGTTATAATGAAGAAGATATTAGCGAATGAAGTTGAGGCCAAAATTGTAAATCAATTATTTTCTGGAATACTACAGATTTTTGGAGTAAAGTCTAGAAATCCACGTGTGTGGCCTAGATTAAAGGAAAAAAAATGAGGGGTGGTGGAGATCAAAGATAAAGGAGAGAAATGAGGGATAAGCCGAACCAATTAGGAAATGGAGAAAAGGAGAGAACCAATGGGAGATGAGAGAAATGAGGGGAAAGGAGAGGAAAGAGGTGCACCGGATCACCTTGATCCATTTCCAACCCACCGACCCGGTTACTTGACCCGGTCATATCTCCTCCGTTCGAACTCCGTTTTGGGTGATCTTGGTGTTCATGGAAAGCCCTTGACAAGTCCTACATCTCTTAATGTTAGATTACCCAATTTCTTTCCCATTTTTCCAGTTTGAAGCCACAAAGCTCACGACCTTTCTAGTTGCTTTGATCTTTTTCCGGTGACTCCGGCGAGCTTCACTGTCAATGAACACCACCAAAAGACTTCTATCAACTCCAGGAGCAAGGCCCAAGCCTTGGTTGAGGTGTCAGAGCTTGTTTGGAGGACGAAGCAAGAAATACCCAAATTTTAGGGTCTCGGTGAGTTCATGGCGATTTGAGGCTCTTCCTGGCCAAATTGGACTTGGCCACAGGTAAAAAACTTGCTCCACTAATTGAGATATTCATTCCTGTAAAATTTGAGAATTTTTAGAAATAGTTGAATTTTCCGACGAGTCGGGGCGGCTGACCACAACCTGCGGCGACGCTTGGCCAGTGGGCCGCCGACACTAGTTTACACTAAATTGATATCTTGATATCAGATTTGATATCCATATGATGTGATTTGATTATTGTGAATCTAGTTTGATTAAGGTGCGTTACTTGATTATTATAGCAATTGACGATCCGACTGTTGGATCATCACCAAACTCTGATATGTTATAGTACATAATATTTGAGGATATTAGAAACTTACAGATCGGGAATCCGACTTACGGATCTTCCCGAATAAGATATGTAAGTTATATGTTCTATTGATAAGAATTCTAAGATATGATTTGATAATTGTTCTAGGCGCCAATCGTTCATAACGCCTTGATGTTTGTGCTAGGGAGTTGTAGCACGGACTCCAGGTGAGTGGACTTTTGGTTTTCTCTATATATATATGTATATATGTTTTCCATTTTCACAGAAAATGTTTTAAATGGATTTAAGTTTTTAAATGCCATGTCAATTGCATTACATTTTATTATATGCATTAGTATTGATATGCATATTATTGCATGACGCTGCGGACGTCCAGGTAAGCTTCAGGTGAGTGCATATTGATGATAGTGATTGCAGTGTGTATGGTTATGTTTAACTGCATTTAGTGCTCATTATCTTGCACCCCGGTGTTAGTGCTCTGCTCGAGCTTAGGGTCAGCCATCACGTGATCGTTCACCTCCCGCACCGCACACTCACCTTGGATCTAAGATAGGTGCCAGCCTGTCGTACAGACCACATTAGGTGGTTCTGACTCGTAGGTGACTTGCGATATTTCACACAACTTTCACGTGATCGTAGCACTTGAGCATACTTATTTACACCGAGCCTGTCGTACAGACCACATTAGGTGGTTCCGACTCGTGTGCAGGAATTAGTTAATGAGCTATAGGTTCAGTCGTACAAGTCACGTTAGGTGACTCCAGCTGGCATATCATTTTACATTGATTTATTTCACCTGACTTACTTATTTCATTGCTGAGATACTATTTAGTTTTCATTACTCTTGAGCATGATTTCTATATACATATGTATTACTATTTTCTGGTAAATTATACGGGTTTTACGGCTAGGGGTTATAACGTTTTCAAAAGGTTTTTATTAAAAACTTTATTTTCAGGCCCGCTCACCTTTGTTTTGCGCCCCGCCAGGTTTTAGCTACTGAAAGTCCATATCGACGAAGATTCGTGGCGAATCTCAGTATAGACGGATACCTTTGAGGGTATGATCCTTATCCACACTACTGTACTTTACTTATGCTCTGACGTCACGTGTGAAATTGGTTTATCCCCACTCACAGCGCACTCTTGTCTTTAGGTACTTTTAGGTTTAAATTTATTCACATTTTCCACATCATTATACTTTACGGCTTCGTCACCTTTCAGGTGTCGGCCAACACAACTGGATTTAGAGTCCTAGTGGACATTCTGGGTCGGGGTGTGTCAATTGAGGGGGCTAAAAAATAGCTCCCTTTGGCTGGAGATGGGTTTTTTGTCAAACAGGCTATGTTTTGGCCGATGACCCTTTGGCCCTCTCGGTTGAAGATGCTATAAATATGGTCTAACATTGTTCATTAAAAAAAAAAAATTCTTGCAGGGCTATATGGCTAAATATGGCCATTTGGCCCCCTTTTAGTTGGAGAAATTGTATAGAAATGACTTAGGTATTTATAGAAAAAAAATTAGAATTTTTAAATTTTTTTCTTAAATTTCGTCTAAAAATAAAAAGATGACATGACGTCAGCTAGCAGCACAGCACAGCTGAGCCTATAGTAAAAAAAATAATAATAATTAAAAAATATATGTATATATAAATAAATAAATATAAAAAAAAGAATGAGAAAAAAAAATTATTATTCTTATATATATATATTTTTTCTTATTTAAAATAAAAAATAATAATAAAAGATAATAAAAAAATAAAAAATAAAAAAATAAAAAAATAGAAAAGAAAAAATAGTATTTTTTTTTCTTATTTATTATTTTTTATTTTCAGGACTGGTTCGCTGGCTATGTTTGCCTTAAACATTTTTACCTATACACATGCACGAGCACATACGTATATCATCAGAACAACATTGCAGTGAAAATGGATGCGACTAATAGATGGAGAGAGATCGATTTTTGAAGAACTTGCTCTTTTTAGTGTATCCATGAAAAGAGAGCGTTTAACAGATCTTTTGGTTTGCCAGGGAAGAATAAGGAATGGCTTTGTGGACATCAGCATCTTTGTCTTTTTTTTCAATATTTTCTCTATGCTATCCACGATTTCCAGTAGGGTGCTGTTTTGGAGAGAATTAGAGTTTATGAGTGTATGTAAGCTACTATGAGCATTCTGTAGTGTGAAGCATACATAACGGCTGCGTGATGTAGAAGGACATGCATATGAGAGTTCATGAGAAAAAACAGGCACACAGATGAAACGGAAAGAAACTAAATGCTCGGCATTGGAAAGCGTCAGGTGATATTGAAACACAAATGACTTAAATTGTCCCAACGCAATATATAAGTGAAGCTTGTGCATGGATCATAATCACGAGTTACAGCCATACGATCGATGAAGTATTTTGACCAGCCAATGCCAGTACAGGTACGAGTCCCAGTGTTTGCTACAAACTTATATTTGAAAAAAATGACAGACAAAAAAATTGCAGTCTTAAGGAAAAGAAGTACTAACCCCTCTGCCGGGTTCTCCACATCTAAATCTTCTCTTTTGTTAGCCATAACTACTCAATCAAGTTTATGATACTCCGTGACCCTGCTATCCTGACAGTAAAAACAAATTGTGTGAGAGAGAGAGAGAGAGAGAGAGAGTTAAGCTACATGGAACCTTACAGCAATGAGACCTGAATGGCTAAGTTTAGGAGGCTTTCAGTTTACAAGGTAGATCCAGTAGAGAGGGAGAGCGCATTCAAGTGGCAGAAACCAAAGTTTGGTATCATTCTCTGCAGCAAACAGCTATATGCTTCATGCGAATGATGATGTTATCGATCCAGAAAAATCACATTTCGAAAACAAATCAAAGTTCTTTCTTTTTCTCACTATTTAAAGTAGTGCTTCTTTAAACTTTTTCGCTTCTAATAAAAATACTCCTTTTTGAAATTTCGCACCTCTAACTTGAAATAGTTTCTATGCATCTAGTTGTGTTTGATGGTTTTCATTTTTGTTGTTATTATTATTATTTTTTCAGGTGAAGCTCGTTCACTGAAAGTAGAAAATATTCTGTATAGGGGGAAATCAGAGTTCCAAGAGATTTTGGTGTTTGAGGTTTGTCATTTTTGTGTTAGACAGTTGAATTTGGTTGTTTATCTACCTTGTGTTCCTTCTTTTAGTCTTATTTATGACGTGAATTCCTTTTTATGCAGTCCTCAATATATGGAAAAGTCCTTGTTCTTGATGGCCTTGTCCAGCTGAGTGAGAAAGATGAATGTGCATACCAGGAGATGATAGCACATCTACCTCTTTGTTCAATTCCATCCCCCAAGACAGTAATTTTACATGATCCATCCCTTGTGTTTTTTGTTGTGCGTGTTTAAAGTCTGAATCTCTTGATCAAACGATCACTCATGACCATGAGAACAGATAGTATAACTAGATTAAGATCAATTTTTAGCGTTTATTTCCAAAAGTAAAATACTTTATCTGGGATTTGAATAGAGTTTGAATGTTCTTCATGCACTTTTCTTTTGCATGTTCTGGTGTTATTCAGTAGTTTCAGTGGGTATTGAATGGGAAGCTTAAGATGGTAATGGTCAGCTGAACCCGAATAGATGAGCTCATGGTCATGTTGCTGACTGTACTATGAATTGTAAAGGCTATATATACATTTTGGGATCCCTTGTTAGTTACGACTTACGAGCCAGGCATCAGATATAGTGTTTAGCTCATAAAATTGTAGTTATCTACCTCCTGTTGGCTGGACTTGGATGCAATGATTTTGTAGCCATATCTGCACAATGGTATTACTCTGTCACAGTGCGAGTGGATTTAGTAGAAGTTATCCTGTAGATGACCATTTGCTCTGTGAACAAGTTTCCTTGTTCGGCAAAGAATAGGGCATCGAATATGAAATGGTGTTAGTATGAATTCAAAACCCACGTCCTTATAATAATTGGACTTGGTTACAGCCTGGTGATTGCAGTTTGATTTACTTTTGTGCTGGAAATGAGAAGCATTTTGCCTTCATATATTTGTTTTTGTTTTCTTATATCGCCTACAGTGAAGTGTTATATGATTTTTTGTGCAGGTTCTGGTTGTTGGCGATGGTGATGGTGGGGTTCTTAGGGAGGTTTCTCGCCATCCTTCTGTTGAGCATATTGATATATGTGAGATAGATAAGATGGTTATTGATGTAAGTGGTGTAATGTCCTCCATGTATTTTATGTTAAGAATATGAGATGACTAACTAATTTCTTTTGTTTGGCTTTTTGTAGGTGTCCAAGAAGTTTTTTCCTCGGTTGGCTGTTGGATTTGAGGACCCTCGCGTGCACCTTCACATCGCTGATGGTAGGTTTAATACTTACTATTTGTTGATTAAATTGTTAATGTCAAATTGACTTTGTATTTGGATTATATCTCATTTTTAATCCATGACAGCTACTGAATTCTTAAGGCTTGCACCTGTTGGTATGTTTTACTTTTACAATAGTTTTGCCGTGCACTTATTGGCTGGCTGACTTCAAATTATTGTTGAATTGATTTGTGATCATATAAATATTACCAGATGACATGTTTGTTTCTGGTTACTTTCTTTTCTGTGCCCCCCTCCTCCCTATCTCCCTTGGTTGATCTCGATGTGCAATATAAAGACTTGTTATAATAAGATTTCTAAATCTAGTGCTTAAACGTACGGTTTCCTTTGGATGCAGGTCCCGCCCAAGAGCTTGTAGAGAAGCCATTTTTTGAGACAATAGCTAGAGCATTAAGGCCTGGTGGTGTTCTCTGTAACATGGCAGAGAGCATGTGGCTCCATACACATCTTATTCAAGATCTGATCTCTGTTTGCCATCAAACATTCAAGGGGTCTGTCGAATATGCTTGGGCGAGTGTTCCTACGTATCCAAGGTAACACTGTAGTTTCCTTTCCTCGCATTAATCTACTCTCTCACTCTCAACCTTTACATATATTTATAAGTTTTTAGCATAGAAAAGATGTCTTGAGCTTCCGCGTGAAGTTGTATAGACTAACACCTTGCTTATCCGGTCCTTCTTAAGACCAGGTAGATATAATGAAATCACTCTTACTTGTGAGATTACTTGTCATGCAGTGGTGTGATAGGTTTTCTGCTGTGCTCAACAGCGTGGCCTCCCGTTGATTTCAAAAACCCCGTCAATTCTATTGAGAAGTTAGAAGGAGCTCTCAAACATAAGAGAGAACTCCAGTTCTATAACTCCGAGGTAGGAGTCATTTTCTGATTCAGCTGACATAACAATCTGCTGTATTTGCATCCTTTTCGCTTGCTTTAGATATACTTGTAAGGCAGAATAACAGCGTCGTTCTTTTGGCAGATGCACTCAGCTGCCTTTGCGTTGCCTTCTTTCTTGAGAAGGGAGGTGAGTGCGCTACATGAATCTTCAACTCCGGCAAGACAAATCGGGGATAAGTAGTTATTAGTAGAGACAACGGTTGCTTGAGTAGCAAATGGAAAGCTAGAAAATAGGTAATTTGTCAAGTGTTGGTGGGTTGGGTTCATGAGCTCTTCTTTCGGAGGCATTGGTGGGATTTCGATAATTGTGGATGATATGGACATTTGACATTTAATGTTATTGGAAAGTTTACCATGGCTATCAAATAATTATGTATCCGACTTTAAATTATGGTTTTATACTTTATACTCGAAATTCTGATTTTCTCAGGTACCTGTTCGGGGCTAGGTTTGGATATTATTTTGTGTTCTAATAACAATAACATCATGATTTATCCTAATTATTTTGAAGTGCTAATGACAATAACACGACTTATGAGACTATTTTAGTGCGCTAATAACATAACGACTTTTGGATTTATGTTTAGGGTTAGCCCAAGTTGTAACGGTGAGTGGGAAAATTAGTTAGGATTATGATAGATTAAGCGTTCTGTGTCTTCCATCAAAACAAAAAGTATTTCCTCATAGGCCCAATGGGTTACTACGAAACCCACTTTCTTGTAATCTGCATGTTTAAACCAGGCCCAATGGGCCATATTAGACCTTTCTGTTCCATTAAACAATGCCACGAGAGAATTCAAAGACATGCCACATAGACCAAAACAGGAGAAAGAGAAAGTTAAAAAACTGCTGTTCATAAGGTACATGCACATGGGACGTGCAGGACGACTAATTGGGGCGCATAGCAGGTTCGAAATACCGGACTCCTGGTGTCGAGGCCGTAGAGCTCTCGAAGCCCCTCAGTAAGGGCTGTCCATAATGAGTAACGTTCATATTATTGTTGTTGTTGTTGTTGTTGTTGTTGTTGTTGTTGTTGTTGTTGTTGTTGTTGTCGTGGTTCATGTTGTTCGGCAACAACGATCTGCATTTGGAGACTATACTTGTCCAGTCCTTGGCCATAAGAACAAAAGCTTCGACTTTTGTATGGCATTTAACGGTTTGTGGGGAGATAGGAAGTTGCGACGGAGATGACTGCCGGTAGAGAAGCTCTTCGCCGTAGAACTGGCCTTTCTTAAGCATGTTGGTTGGCATTGATGAGGATTGAGAACCCGATGATGATCCACCACCATGTCGATTCTGATCACCGCCCACATAAGTCCATATAAACCCTTCCGTAATGAAGATCATCCGATCGAGAATGTCTCCTGTTCGCACAACGAAGCTATTCTCGTCGTACGTCACTGGCCTCAGATAGTCGCAGATCATTTTCAACACTTTTTCATCCATTTCTTTGAGCATTGGTACCTATATATGTTATTTGCATGCATGCATATTAGCTTAATCATATCTAATTAATCGCATCATATAGATTATTGATCATATAAAGATATAAGAGGGGTTGAGGTTGCACATACTGTCCTTAGGGTATTCATGAACAGAAAACGCTTTAGGGGTTTCATGGTGTACCAAGGAAGAATGGAGAACAGATTCCCCAGATCAGCGTCTTTGTTTTCTTTCAGTTTTTGTTTTACGTTTTTCTTGATCTCTTTTTTAAAATCTTCTGGGAGATCATTTTTCTCCATCCACTCTTCTATATGTCGCTCTTTCATCTTAATCTTCTGTCTTATATCCTCCGACCTTGTAGTTGCCAATTGCATAAACGTCTGTATGTACGTACGTCACACAACAAATACTTGTTATTGGTAATTCTATTTAACACAAAAAGAAAACTGATATGACACTCTATAATACATATTGAAAATAAACCATAATCAAGAAGGAAATTAAATGAAAATTTTAAGGACAAATAACAGAGGGAGTGCTTTAAAATGATTGAAAGACTTTTGATGAAAATATTTTTGGAACCAATCTTAGTAAAAAGCAAGTGAATATTGGAAAAATATTCGAAGTGCTTTGTGGAAAAAGTACTTAACTGTTGTTTTCTCCAAGAAGCACTTCAAGTGATTTCTGGAACCCAAAAATGTTTTTTCTAAAAATATTTTCGATCATTTTAAAAGCACTTTTAAATAAGCTTAAAGATTTAATACCAACCTGTGCATTTCCTATGAGATATAAAAATAGGAATATTCCAATGATAGAAATAAGAATTGCAAAGATGTTTTCCCACACATATGTACTTGTTGTCAGATTTGTGCCAAAGTTGCTGCAAAAAAAAAAAAATTCAAACGATGATCAAGAAATGTGACAAAATAAGATAAAATGTACATAATAATTAGTTGTCGATGAATTGCCAACCTTAAATTTCGCAGTCCCCACCAAGACGAGTAGATCACCTTGCCCAGAATATCCAACGACGCCGCGTTTCCAGATTGAAGAGAATCAAGAAATATTCCGAAATCAAACGGCGGTGTAGTATTTGCAGGAACATTTATGGGACAAGATTCATCTAGAAATGATATATTATTTCTTGCCGTAGCACGGTCGTCACAGTAAAAAGTACCCAAGTCTGTCATGTTAGGTTTTTTTAATGCCCGATACCAACATGATGTCTCTCGTTGAATAGAAAAAAAATACCAAAAGGCTCCAAGTACCTAAAACACAAAAAACTAATTAATTATATATCGTAAAATTAAGGGTAAATTCTTAATTAGTACAAATGGTTAAGTCAAACAATAGTTAGTTTTACCAAACTAAAGACTCAAGTGAATTACCGCTCTGAGTTAGTCAAATGGCAAAGGAGAGTAGGATGATAGGTAGGGGTAAGTTAATTTAAAGACAAATAAATTGACAATGAGAAGGAAACTTACATGACTTGCAATGATGTAAAGGAACAAATTGAATGCACATTTGGCCCATATGCCAGTTCGTGTAAGGTTGTGAGAGGATAGGTGAATTCGATAAATCCTCGGAAGATATTGGGCAAGAAGGAAAAAAGATAGAACCGATCTTTTGACCACATATCCAGATACTTTAATTTTGAAGTAAACACCTACTAAAAGCACCTGGGCAAAACAAACAAACAAAGCAAGTTAAACTTAAAGCTAATCATATAATTCACAAAAAACATTAGGAAGTTGTTATTAGGGTTTAGACGCTCCAAAAAAAGTCATTCTGTACTTTAAACATGTGAATATAAGAGATAAAAAGAGCTTGGAGGAGTGCAGACCGATTTTTCTGGAGTTCCAATAACAACATCTAAAAATTGATCAAACTTTAATTCTAATTGCCTTACCTGTGGGATGGGAAGAACAGCAAGAATGTCAGTAACGATCGAGCGCCACGACAACTTTCTGGCTACTGCCATAGCTTCCCAACCGGGATTTTCCATTTCATGTGAGTTGACAGATTTAATGGCCTGACGAATTTGATGAATAATATGCACTACGAAAATGGTATCTGTGAGCAGTCGCAAAACAAGAGTTGCATTCTTCAGCTTCTTGTCCATTCCAAGGCACTTATTTTTTTCATCGATGTATGGAATGTAAAAGAAGAGAGGGTCCAGTGACACAGCAAACGCACATGAAAGTACAAATATTTCGTTCCACAGTAGATCATTTGCAAGAAGTCGATCCAGTTTTGGCCCTTTAAATTTTGTACTAGGTGAAGCTACTCCAGGTTGCGGGTTAAGTCTGTTGGGATTGAAAGGTGTTTGGCTGAGAAGAAAATGCAAATCAGAAGGGGGGTTAAACACAAATTTGTGCCATAACTCTAAATTATGAATTACTTTTCAGATCGTACTTCCTTTCTTTTTGAGAGAAACTAACCTTAATTCAATGGTGTACTCATTATTTGGGACATGCATCATTGGACACTGTTTACGTTCGACCGATTGTCCTGAAAAATTGAAAGAATATATGAACAGGTAGAGTAATTTACTTCTTTGGGAAAGAAAGCATGAACTAATACTGGTAGCAGTATGTATAATGTATTGATGAACTTACAAGCTAGAAAGATAACAGGGGGTTTCTTTGGAAGCAAATGATTGGCAATGTGGAAGAGAACATTGTGTCAGATTCAATTTTATTAGCAATTAGGGTTTAACCATTGTTTGGACATATTCATTGACGAAGAACTTGTCCAAGTCTTTCCAAATATTCTCCTAATCTTCCTTCTTCATTTAATTTAATTTAAGTTCAACTTGTAGTTCCAAACGACGCTGCCAAATTGCTTGATAAGCTTGTTTTTTTCCCCATATAGAGATGAACTTAATCTAGCTGCTCTTTTTGACTAAACTCTTAAAAGAATAGTGAGGAATCAATAATTGAAAGGTATACAAAACGAATACCTCTATCTCAAGTTGTAATATTATTCAAATTTCCTAGAAGGAGGCGCGCAAACGAATGAAACTCTAGCTCAAGTTGTAATATTATTCAAATTTCCAAGAAGGAGGCGCATGCGCGCGCACACGCACGCCCATCTATCAGCTCTCCCTTCTTAAAAGAGACTATATTACACTGTAGCAACAACACCCATATATAATTTTTTTGGTCCAACGATAAGTTTGTTATTTTAGATGTTAAATTAGGAAGTTGACAAGATTTAAACTTACGATGTGATGCTAGAACAACACTCATCTCCACCAATGTGGTAGAAGATACTTGCCCTATATATCATTCGATATATCCAATTGTATCCTTAAACTGTTGATCAAATTCCAATTAATCTACGAGCACTTTTTTTTTTCTTTGGCACATACCAATTTACCAAATACTAAATACTCATTATTTTTTGGGCATAATATGTTGTAAGCTCAAGAGACATTGCAAACAAAACATGAGGAGAGTGAGCAAAACAAGAGACACAAGTACGGCTTTAAAGCTACATAGCATTGAATACTACAAGTGTTTTAGTATTACGGTTAGTGATATTTCTCTTCAGCTGTAAGAATTCTTGAGTTAGAATCTCGTGAATGACAAATTTGTAACCAATTTATTTCCCAACAGCCCAGTACACAAAATGAGATTGCCAACAAGCAGATACGGATATAAGCTTCTTTAGGCGGACATGCAAATAGGTAGCTAGGCATACTCCACTACGCGAACAAGTAGGCTCTGCTACAAGCAGACAGGCAGGCAAGCAAATTCCAGATATATGGCAGATGAATATAGATTGAGATGGTGGATTGTAGATAGTTTCAAGCAGGCAAATGTTGAAGTATGAACTCTGTCACTAAACGGACGAGATTCCTATTTTCCAATTGGAGTCATGCTCTCCTAAGGTACTTATTTTGAGGACCTATAAAAATCAAATGCATATTAATCAAAAGATTATATTAGTTTAGATTCAAAGGCTGAAATATTTGACAACTTAATCAAAACAAGAAGATGAGTTTTCTAATGGTTCATAGATTTTAAGTTGATTTTGGTTCATTAAATTATCAAATATTTTAAACCTTTAAACCTAAACTAATATAATATTGTGTATCCTCAAAATAAAGACCTTAGAAGAGTAAGACTGATTTGAACCTTATCGACAAACAAACATGTAGAAACTTGGACAACAATCAATGAAGTGGACTGGTAGGAATCGCTGTGGGAAACAGACTTGCAAGTCGAAACAAGAAACTTTTCTTAGGTTCTTCCATGTGGGCCTCAAACCCAATTAGTGGCCCAATTTTTTAATTTTCCCTTTACTGTATGTTTTCCTCTTCTTATTAGTGGTTTCTTTTTCATGGTAAGTTTTGGCATAATCTTGAACTTTAAATTAACTTGAAAATATTTTGAACGGCTCAGAATAAAAGGAGGGTACAAGACTGGAGGGGAGAAAATTCGAATCCTTACAATAGGTAACACATAATTATTGAATCCCATTATTCTATATTCAAAGTAATTTTAGAATATATTTTTTCGCCACTTAGTATTACGGTCTACTAATTTTTATGTGGAAACATTGTTCAACTCTCAACTTTCAATTTTATCACTTCCCGGAACCAAATAGTGTAGATGCACTATGAAAGCATGTAGGTTTATTTGTTAGAACCCAGATCATCTCCAGATCTAAAAAAACTAAACCTAAAAAACAAATGATTTGTGCCTTTGAAATTTGATCTAACGGCTACAAACAGGGGACCCTCTAAAAGTTATAATAATTGTAGCTGTTGGATCAAATTTCAACAACCCGGATCAATTGATCCTTAGGCTTAGTTTTTATGAGATCTAGAGATGATATGGGTTTTATTTGTTAATTATTGAGAGGTTTAGGTTAACCCACCAACGTGAAAAACGTGAATTATTTGTTAATTATTTGAGGGGCTCAAGGTAACCCACCAACATGGAAAATGAAGGAAAGGTGTCGATCACATTGGAGTGGTTAGATGTCTTCTTGTGCTTTTCTGGGTTAGTGGGATGATTCGCTGCATCATCGATTAACAAATCCGAAATCGGCATTGTATACTCATATTTGGGAGTTAACAGATTCAATTTTTTTAAGTCGATGCGAATGCGCAAATCACCATTTTTCTTTGAAACATGAACGATATTGGCCAACCATTCAACGTAGCGCGCTGTCCGAATGAACCCTGCTTTCAAGAGATGAACCAATTCATCCTTGATGCCGAGTTTCACTTCGATCGAGAATCGTCGAGGTGGTTGACGGAAGGGTTTACACCCAGGTTTAATACGTAACTCATGCTCGATGAGAATGCGATCTAAGCCAGGCATCTCGTGGTAGCTCTAAGCAAAACAATCTTTGAACTCCTGAAGCAGGGCACGAAGTTCGGCTTTCATAGGTTGGGGAAGCAAAGCACTAATAAATAGAGGTCGTGGGTCATCGGCCATCCCAACATTAATTTCTTCTAATGGATCCTTGACATGGGGCCGATTGTCTTCGAGCTCGGACAGGGTGGCTTGAATTTTGTCAAAAGATAAGACATGACGATTATCTCATTCGGCGAGAAACTCTACGAGGTTAACACCTGAATCTGGTTACTTAGATATAGTATACCAATGAGCCAGCAGTCGTTCCATAGTAAATGAAACTGCGGCCCGACGTTTCTCTCGATCGGTGTCAAACATCAGGGTCGGGGATGAAGTTAGCTAACCCGAGTCTCGTCGAATCCTGGTGGATAGTTTCGGCGCCAACTTCGATAGCTTTCTGAATAGAAATCCGAGTCGGCCGCCATTCATCATTGAAACCTTGTAAGGTGATGTAGTCGACGTGGTCATCATAATACCGTGCTTGGATCATGTTAGCTTCGAAGGGCTGACTATCGGTCGGGTGAACAATGATCGATTTACCGTCCCAAAAAACGAGCGCCTGATACAATGATGAAGGAATACAGCTGGTTTGATGAATCCAGTCTTGACCGATCAGTGCATTATACTCGGTCTTGGAGTTAACGATGAAAAAGGCAGTCATGTGATTACGGCCGGTAATGTTTACTGCTAAAGGAAGCACCTCTTTCGTTTGGGATTTGTCTCCAACAAAGCTGCTCATTGTGATCCCAGGGGGGATAAGTTCGTCATTGGAGCGGCGTAATGCCTTCATGACGTTTACAGGCATGATATTGACAGTGGCTCCACAGTCAATAAAAACTTTGGAGACTGGATACCCTTCGATATGTGCCATTACATACAATGGCTTCAAATGATGAAGTTTGGCCGATGATGATCGAGGAAATAATTTGCATTGAGGTTGTCATCTTTTGTTGTTGACTCGACTTCAGCAATAGTTACAAAATCAACGTGACCGGCTTCTTCAGCAACTACATTGCCATTGAAGAAATTCGGTTGAGATGTGCTCGACTGAAAATCAGCAGGCAAAACATGGACCATATTGATTTCCATGTTATCCAAGACCGACGGGCCCATCGGGTTACGATCATCCTCTTCAGGCTATTCTCTTCCCTGGTCACCGGCTGCGGCATCTGCTTCCATCGAAGTTGTACTAAAAGACTCATATGCTCATTCTTCAATAGTTTGTTCCCGCGGTGTCTCTTCGGAAGCCTGTTTGTTCTGTGTATGTGCCTCAGGTGCATCTGAAATCGGAATTATGCCCGGTATTGGTGCCAGGATACGAGCTTGCTCTTGGTACATTATACGGGCATCCCTGGTGTCGAGATAAGCATCCAACCGTGCGACTCGTTTTATTTCATCGGTCGTAAGGCCGAAGAGAGAAACGGCCGAGAAGACTTTGAAGTGGTATCGTAAATACTGGAGGTCCTCCAATGAGAAAGGAAGGTCGGCCACATCGATATCAGTGTATGGGTCGACTTCAAAGCCAAGGACTCGAGCTTTTCGTATGTGTTGGAACCTAGCTTTCAATCCTAAGTCTGAGTTTTTCTGAATAATTTGCTCGGCATCCGGGCAAGTTAAGACGAGATCGATTGTATCTTGACACGCTTTTGGCAAACCATACAGATCGTTAGCCAAATGATTTTTATGAAACTCTTGCATATATTCCAAAGCCTCCTCGAGGAATGGTGGATGTAAATTCTGTCGAATCTTGATCAAAGGTTCTCGTGGGGTTGGTGAGGACAGTTTGCTTTCAGCTATTTGCCTGAAATGCTCGAAGCGTGCCTTAATTTCCCCAGGGCGAAGAAGAAGTTTGATCCTTTTATCAGCCTCCTCAAACGTGGTTTCAATATCTCGATTGACTAGTTGTTTCCCTTGAACCAGCTATGTCATAATAGTTAGGGATGATCGTTCATCATCATTGGCAACTGTTTTCTTCGGCCGCCATTTAGGGACCGAAGTTTCTTGGGCTGCTCGTTGGCGGGCCATGCAGTCTATTCTTTAGTGCCGACATTTTTGGGATTTAGACAGTGCAATGTAGACGCCTTTCGAAGAGTGATATGTATACCAACACTGGTCTCGAGGTTTAGAAGGTTTGAAAGTTTTTCGGCTTTGTGATGATTCTGAGCTGCTAGAATTGCGTGTGTAATAATCTTCATCATAAAACGGAGCATCAAAATCGAGGTGCCGTCTGACTGAAGATGTCTCTTCCACCCGCACTTTAAGGCCGAGCCTATCAAAAACCCCTTGATGTTGGCCTGCGTTGAGCACCTTTTGCTGTGTTGCGGTTGTAGGTTGTTCCACTATCGCCGAAGATGACTTTTCCTTCGGCTCAGTGTTGACATTTGCTTTACACTTTCGGCATAAAACCGCCGACCCACTGTCTTCATCAGTGTTATAATCTGTCATGGGCTTGACAATA